TTATATTATATTATATTATATTATATTATATTATATTATATTATATTTTTATAGCAAGATTTTTGGAGACTTAAGGCATTGAAGGTTCCAGACAAGTGATACAGAGCCTTGGCTTCATCATACCGTCCATGACTAAAGTGAGAGTGGATTTACTGTTAAAAAAACAAAAACCAAAAAACAGAACCTCCACCCAGACCCATTTAGCAGGCAGCCTGTGTAATGGTCTTAATATTTATGGTTATTTTTCTTTGTGGATAGTCTAGTATTTACGGTGGATATTCCGATAGTTGCTATGGCTTCCCTGTCTCTAGAACTGATTACGCTTATGTTGGCCAAGGTCTCGGCAGTGTTGTCAATTGGAGCTGGATGAATCCTCAAGTGGGAAGACTTAGCCTGTATCCTGCGCTCTGTAGGAGGCTTAGCAGCACCCCTGGACTCTACCCACTAGAGGGCAGGAGCAACAACCCCACTCTCCCTGTGGTCACACCCAGATGTGTCTACAGTGTCAAATGTGCACTAGGTAGCAATCCATTGGCCATACTCTCGCCTCTAAAGTGGGGAATTTCAATGCTGGCTCTGAAAAGTGGGTCAGGCTGCTGTAGCTCCGGTGTTAGCTTTCAGAGGAGGGGTAACACAAGCGGGTGGTGAGGGACAGCCAAAGCCAGAGCCACCACCTCAGACACAGCACAGACAAAATACATCAGACAAGCAAAGCAACAAAATCAAATGTCATCATCTCGTGGGAGCTTACAGATGTACCAGACACCATATTCATTAGTCATTTCTTTTTCTCTCAACAATCCAGAGTATATGGGTGAAGAAGCTAAGAGATTACAAAGCCTGTGTTCTAATTACCTAGCAAATTGAATGTGACTCTACAGTCCCTGCCACAACCTACAGAGAGCACGCACAGCACAGCAAACATTAGCGTTGCAAATTGGTTACAGTTGGTTTGAGCGTCCAGGTTTGCTTACTTTGGACTTAATTTAGATAAGCCTGGCAAGTGCAGGCTTGGTGAGGAAATACGGGGATCCGATACCTTCTCTGTCAGCGGAAGTTAGGCAGCCAGAAAGGCTTGTGCGGGGGGCCTGGGTGCTGCTCTTGCTCCTGCTTGTCCCATCCTCCCAGACGTAGGAAGGCTATTGACTGAAACTACAGCTTGGCTCTCCAGCGCTGAAAACTCGCTTTTGGTCTACAAATAAATGAACTGAGATACGAGTATCTGTGGCGCACATTCCCTTAATCAACGCTCGCCAGTGCAGTGGTGCATACGTGAAAATACGAATGTAATAACTATCAAGTTACTTCAGAAAGCCTGCACTTTCTGAGGTGGAGGGAACAAGGGGGGGGGTGTCAGAGACTCAGAAATTGTCTTTCAGCAAAACTGGGTGAGGCTCAAAGAAAATCCTCCTCTTCTTGTTTGCTAGACGTGGTTGAAATAGGTGACTGTATAAACAGTCGCCAACTACTTGACAGGTTCAGATGAACTGAGCCTGAGTTTACATGTATCCAAATCTGTTGCTCACATCGGCATTTCTACCTTGGATCTGAGATCTTTCTGTAAACGTGGGCCCCAGGTGTGACTTTTCCTGAGAGTTAAATGCTCGGATTTTGCAAAGCTGAACTAAACCCGCAGAAGCAGGCTGGGCCTGGCTTGCCGGTTTAAACAAGGGCAGCTCTGCCCTCAGCTAGTGTAGCTGTCCTCTGGTGATAAGCCTGAGCTGGCTTGTTAGGCAGGGGGCTGGCTGATGCGACAGGGGTCACTGTGGAAGAGCGAACCCCAGCTGAGAAAGTTGCCCACCCCATCAGCCCGTGGACAAATCTAGTGCATTTTTTTTCATTCATGATGGCTGGGGGAGGGCCAACATGGTGCATGATGACATCCCTGGGCTGGTGGTCCTGGTTCTAGATGAAAACAGGCTGAGCAAGCCATGAGGAGCAAGCTAATAAAGTAGAACTCCTGCATGGCCGTGGCCTCAGTTCCTGCCTCCAGGTTTCCTGCCTGGGCTTTCCCCAGAAATGAAGTGTGAGCAGAGAGCAGTAAGCTGGGGTAAACCCTCTCGTCCCCACATTGCTTTTAAGATAGGCAGTAATTATTTTACACTAGCTGAATCCTGTCACTTAATTATGTTCAGTAGCTCATCCACCTACTCTGAGAGGCACCTGAACTTTTTGAAGCCACCATCCAAAGATCCAGGAAATTCCTAAAACTGTCTCAATTTAGAGGTTATTTTAAAAACTGTCCTTAGGAAAAATTAAATCAAGCAGGCCTAATGCCATACTCTGTGTGCAGAGTGATATGGGGAGATGCTACACTATTAATGTATTAAAAAAGAAAAAGAAATTGTTGGAGCTGAAGGGATGTTAAAAGCGCATGCCCACACCTGCACTCTCACACACATACCACACACATACACATACATAAAAAGATACAAATAAATCTTAAAGAAATGCTTTTTAAAAAACAGGTAGCTACATATTCATCTCACCTAAAGTTTTTTAGTAGCTTGTTTATTAATGGATTATATTTAGCCAAATTTAAGTTCAGATAGATGATTCAGAGGCCCTAGTGTTCACAAGACAATACCCCATCACTGTGAACCAGTAGAAGAGATCTGCTGCACGCACACACTCTCTCTCTCGCTCACACACACATAGACAGACATATTCTTGACAGAATGAAAGGGCTTTACATCATCTTACTTTCTCACAAAATAAAAATATCCTCTGCACAGCTAGAAATTGTACGTGCTAGATTGTAGTTTACTGACTGACTCAGAAATGACTGGTTCTTGGGAATTAATATAAAGAAAGGACAGTGAGGCATAAGGAGAAAGCCTGGGCTGGCTATCCCAGTTCTTAGATGGATGGTCTAATAACTGAATCTTCATTATTACCATACTTATTCAGTTCAATTATTAATTAGCAATTAGCCCTCACTTCCCCAAGGTTAA